TTGTAGTCGCTTTTTTTGGCTTTTAATGTGTTTTGTTTATTTTTTTTGGGCTTCTTAATTTGAGGGTTGTGTTGCTTTTTGGATTTTTCTTTTTTTGCTTTTGCTTGTTCATTTGTTTTTTTCGCTTTTTGGATTTGTTTTTTGCTCTTGCTTTTTGTAGTTGCTTTTTTTCCTGCTTTTTTTGGACAAACAGGTGGATGTTCCTTTTGGTGAGCGATTCAGGCGATTCACCAAGTTGTTTTTGGACTGGTTTCGGACGGTCCCGTGGCTGGACACAGATGGGGAAGTTAGTTTGTTGGAAGATGTTGGAAGTGTACATTGCCTTGTCATCTTGGCGACGCGGCACATGACTCCTGTTTACGACAGAGGGAAGAAGAAGACAAAGTCTTGGCGTAGTGCTTATGTCATGCATGATGAATCGATTCGCGCTGACTTGGTCCGTTCAGATTTGAGATCTCAGTTTCGAATCGTTTTTCAGTTCTTTAAGTGGTTGGGATCTACACTTCTCTATAGGGGACCTTTGAAGAAGTTGGGTTTTCATAATCCAACGGTTTCCTTCATGAAAGTTTTGCAGCTTCCGAATCATGATGAGGTTGCAAAGTCACTTTGGGATTTCCTTCACGGGGTGCCGCTCCACTTTAAGCGTGAAAGGTACTTGGCTGCCCTGATGGGTCTTCTGTTTGACCGAGTGCGTTCACCTGACGCTATGCTGGGGGGGCCACTGCACGTCGTCGACTGCATGAAACCGCAAAGGCCCAAAACCCACTGGTTGGGTGTCTCCCGATTAAAACACACCCATACTCACACCCATACATGTTTAATCCCCGCAAAGAAACGCCGAACCCCGTCGAAACGAAAGAGAAGTCGCGTGCCCTGAAAAGTCGCGACCTGGTTCCGTTCCTGCTCTGGTTGGCCTGTTTCCTACCTGCTGGTAGTAAGATCTAATGTTACTATTCCAAATGCTCTGTGGGAGTGGAATACGCATCCATTTCATTCCATTTCATGTTATACTGTTCTTCTTGAACATTGTCTCTTTCCCTGCTTCTCAGAAAATTTTCTTTTGTGCAACGTTTCACATCTGCGTCTGTTGTTGTCTTCGTCTGCGTCCGTTCCGTTCTTTTCACTTCTTGTTTTTTTGTTGCACCCTTCGATTTTTGCCTTGCTTCCTGTCCTGTTTGTTTCCTTCAATAGAATGGATTTGGTTCCGGAATTCTATTTTATTGATTGAATCTTGAAGAATACTCCTGAAGTGGCTCAGTTTTGGGGAGTAATTTGTGCTTAATTTTATGAAAGCAAATGTTTTGGACATGCCGCCAGCAGCCCTTGGGCGTTTACCGCTTAAACCCACCACCCACCGAGGGCGGCTCCAGCACCGAAGCCGAACAGAGGACGAGAGGCACAGGGCAGAACGACCCACAGTCGTTGTCTCAAATTCTTGCGATGTGAATCCTGTCAGGTCTGGGCTGAGATGGTTCCATCGACGCCTCGGTTCTCTGGCACCAGAGAGACCAGGGCAAACGCATGAACGACCCATGTAAATGTCACTATGTCACTCATGTCATTTTCAGTGCTTTTGGTGCCTTTCTCTTTCTCCGCTGTTTCCGCCTTTGCGATTAAAAGGGTTGATTGAGCAAAAGCTTGATGAAGGGTGGTAGCGATGGGAAGTGAAATCAAGAGAAGGAATGAAACTACTATATTATATTGGTTGGAGGCCATGGATATTAGGTTTGAAGGCCATCGCTACCAGGTTGGAGGCCATCGCTACTAGGTTGGAGGCCATCGCTACCAGGTTGGAGGCCATCGCTATTAGGTTGCAGGCCATCGCTACTAGGTTAGAGGCCATCGGCCATCGCTATTAGGTTGGAGTGGAGGCCATTCGTATTACCATTTATCAAACACTCGCTACAAGGCGATCAAAAAACATCATGTTCCAGCGAACTGTCATTACAGTACACCAAGCTCTACTTTTGAAAGGCGGTAGACACACAGAAACCAATTGCCTAAAATAAAGCTATCGATGTAGCAAGTCCTTGGTGAAAAACAATTGAAGCTACAGTATCTCAAAACCGACATTTAGCAAACACTTGGTCAAAAGCAATTGAAACAATACCTTCAAGGATTACCTTGAAAAAAGGCAGTGGACAATCATAGCGAAACTAAGTTTGGAAAAAACATACAATGTGCAAACGGCCCGAAACTAAATATGAAACATCTAATCTAACCTTGCCAAACCCTTCCTGAAAGGCAATTGAAAGCACAATAAAAACCCTACCTTGAACCAGAGCTCCAAACGAGCGCTTGTCCGTGCTGAAAGGCGCGCGGTTTTTCACGCGGAAAACCGTTGGAGCGTCGGCAGCTGTTTAACGGCTCCACCTGTCAGGCCGCGACAGTCCCTCCAGGACTGACCAATGCCCAGCAGAACGAACACAGAACGAACGAACGCCGAGCCGCGACAGAACAGGCGGAGTGTCGAACGCAACATGATTGCGGAGAACGACATCCAAGATGGCGTATGAAAAAAGCGCCGCGTGAGGATGCAGTATGAAATTTAGCCAAATCACGTTTGTAAGGGTGAAGTTAATCCAACGAACCAGCACCTAGCAATACAAATCTAGAGCAGGCTAAATGTTCCACAAGGCGATTGCAACGAGGAACAGCAGCCTATGTACCAACAAAAACACATGATTCAGAAAACCTAACACAACTTGTCTGTCTATCATCTACCCCCATATTTGATGCCATAAACATCCACCTGGAACAACGGTTCAACTGTTACTAAAACTTGAATGCTTTCAACATGCTGCATGCTGTGTGGTGCCACACGTACGCGTGGCACAATTCACTTGAAATCCACATCACTAAACAGCGACAATCCAAGCCACTCCACTTGTCAACTGGTCGATTAAAATGGTGTTCCAATCGGTTCCTTGAGTGTTTATCTTCAATGATCCGGGTGAAGCTTGTGTCTCTATGTTGAACATGCCGGATTCTAGATGTTCTACACTACACCAGGGGTGACTCCCACTTTACAATCCCTGAAATGTTCTGTTGTAGATGTCAAGCCTCCTCATAGACCACTGACCACCCATCACTGGTCTCCTACCTTCGAGCGTAAAGAGATCTACGCCACGTCTCACGTCTCGCTGCCTTTTCATGCCTTTTCAATCCCGTAGCGGAGGTGCATCATCCATATAGGTTCAGTTTAGACTGCGGTGCCGAAAACGAAGGGACCGATCCTGCACCTCAACGAAGGGAAACACCTGCACTCGTCTCTCAAATGGCCGAACTCGTGTGGTACCGGTACAACTCCTTCTCTCCGCTTTCTGGAAAATATCGAGACATCAGCACCTCACATGACCCGTCACGTGAATCGCAACAGAACACTTGCAAACAGGCAAGTAAAGCAAGAATGCTTCTGTTCCAAAGTGTCCAATCACCTATCAAAATTGCGCCTCTGACAGATCTTAGCTGCGTTTAAATTGGCATCTCAGAAGAAGGTGGCCACTCACTGCTAAGAATGCTGGGACCTGTGTCCGAAACTGGCGGAAACTGGGGGTTCAATTCGCATGAGATCCACCACCAAATCCGCGAGATGGGACACGCCGAGTTGTTCATCCTTCCAAAGAGGCGGACTTCGATTCCTTTGCCGTTGCAAATCGCATATGTTGACCCACTTATGCAAGGCTCAGGAGGGGCCAACCGCCAATTCGACGGCTTCAAAGAAGAAAGCACACCGCATGGAGAGTCGAGGGTCAAAGAAGCAAACAAATCCGTCATGGAAGAAGGATCCAACAAACGGTACAGGGTGTACTAGGTGCGTACACGGTGGACCTTTCACCTGAGAGCACAGAAGGATCATTGACTCTGACATGCACATGGGAAAGTCAGCTAGTAGAGTCATCTGCAGTCATAAGCTGCCTTTAGCATCTTC